TTTTTCCCCGACTAAGTGTAGACTTTCTCTCTGACAGAGGGAGCTCGGTGGGGTGGAGGATGTAGAGCCTGCAAATGTAAAAATCTACAACAAATGTAAAAATAGCCACATATGTAAGTATATTGTACACACAAATGTCATAATAACCCCAATGTCATAACATGTCAACCACATATGTAAAAATAGCCACAAATGTAACAAACTTAGTGTAAAAATCTTTTTCACCACAATGTAAAAACAATTCACCTATAAATGTAAAGATTTCCAATTTTACCTCGAATTTTATAACATGTCAACCGAAAATATAAAAACTCATTATAATACAAGTTATTATTAGATGTATGGGTTTGTGTGCGAGGATTTCCTAATGAGCTTTGAAATCCTTAATATATTGAAAGATCCTAATTATCTGCTTACGATTTGAATGGTGTCTGCGTATTTTACTTGCACACAACTAGCATTGTGTACATTTTTTACGCTGCCATATTTTAACAAAAAGAAAAACAACAGCTAGGAATTAGAAGAACTGAATGTGTTTTGCGGGTTCAATGTTTTTACATTCTTTGTTATTTTAAATTTTGTGGTTGATTTTCCCAGGGGCGGCGCCAGAAATTTCCTGACGAGGGGTCCAGGCTCCCTGACAAGGGGTCCACCCCTCTCCCTCCTTCAAGGAAGCCTTCGGGGAAGCCCACCACCCCCTCCCCGGTAGGGGAAAATTGTGTTGATCATCTTCATTAAAAGAAAAATAGTTTGATAGAAAACCAAATAACTTAAGAGGCCCCTGTCGGGGGTACTAATCACCTGTCCGACGTAGCATCCCCCTTTCGGGGAATATCTGGCGCTACCACCGCAAAGCATACGATTGCGATAGTATACACACCTCCCACATACGGTAGCATTACTCCAACTAAACAGTTCTTAATCACTAAAATTTGACAGCTTAGTAAGGCATACCTAATTGTCCTACTTTCGGCGGTCGAAATTTAATTTTTCCATGACGACCTTATTGGAAATTCCCCTACAGGGGGTCCAAATGGGGGTCCAGAGGTCCCCTATGTGGGTCCTTTTCCCCCTGGACCCACCGCCAGCGCTGCCCCTGCAACCACCAGAACCATAATAGGTGGCGAGCCGTTATGAACCAGCGCCGATTTATCGGTAATTCAACTTGCAAATATTCAGGAAGTTTCCATGAATTAAGAGTGAAAATATACTGTACTACTTTAGGATGCTGTATCATTTTCAATGTATCATTATTCTAAAGTATACTTTCTTTTTGAGAAATTAAACTGAAACATTCAGCATTAATGGTGTGCTGGCTTTGCTTTCGAAACAACTGTTCTAGGCCATATCATTTAATTATCTCAAAATGTCTCAACTTTTCAACCCGTCGACAAAGAATACTGGAGTAGTTTAAATATTCATTACAATAAATTCTAGTTTCAACTTTTAGTTTATTGTTTTATTTAGACATTATCTAGTTTTTCTAATATCAAAATTGTATGTAATGAGTATTTATTATATTATTACCATTACAGGATTTATAAACTTTCAATATAGATTAAACATTAAAACATTGTACCAATTTCATTTCATTTTTATACATCTGTGTATGCAAGCAATGCACTAGGCAAATAGTTGAAATTGAGCTTTTAATAGGTGTTTTTTAATATGGGTTTTAACATGTCAGTCAATAATGAGAACATAATTCTTTGATTTCAGTTGATCTATAAATTAAACTAAATTGTATCAATAATTCGCAATGCAAATACAATACATTTATGATGGTAGGCCTAATAAATGTAATTAAAACAATAAAAGTTGTATATCTAGAGGTACAATTTCTCCAAATTTTACCACCTCAGCCCCAACTGTGGTGGAGCTGAGAGACGTGTGAACTCACAGTTTTGAAGTAAGTAAAGTAAATACATAAAAAACAATGTTTTTTAGTTTAATTTTCTATGGTAACGTACATCAAACATACTAATTAGATCTCTATGGTGGCCGAAAATAGCTGATAAAAGATCAGGAGAATTTTTTGGCGCTTCATTTTGATTATATTATAATAATGATGTGATGATGATAAATTTTACTACTTAAAAGTGTCATTTCCGGCCACCTTGTGGTACTATTTCCTCAAACTTTCTCACTAGCATTGTGTACATTTTTTACGCTGCCATATTTTAACAAAAAGAAAAACAACGCTAGGAATCAGAAGAACTGAATGTGTTTTGCGGGTGCAATGTTTTTACATTCTTTGTTATTTTAAATTGTATGGTTGATTTTTACATTTCTGGGCTCTACGGTTTATAGACATATAGTCCATATCAGACCTACCTAATAAATGTAATTAAAACAATAAAAGTTGTATATCTAGTGGTACAATTTCTCCAAATTTTAACCACCTCAGCCCCAACCATGGTGGGGCTGAGGTGAATGTGGCCACACGGCTTTGAGATGGATCGAGTATATTAAATACATCAAAGAAAGTATTTCTTTAGTTTTATTTTCTATAGTACATCACTCGTATTAATTAGATCTATGTTGTTGCCGAAAATCCCTGATTAAAAAAGTGTCATTTCCGGCCATCTAGTAACGGTACTATTTCCTCAAATTTTCTCACCTCGGCGCTAACAATGGTGGGGCTGAGGTGGGTGTGGACTCACGGCTTTGAAGTAGGTAAAGTAAATACATCAAAGAGAATGTTTTTAAGTTTTATGTGTACATTACACAACTAATTAGTAAACGCTGATACTTTTGACGTATAATGGTGATGTGATGATGAATGAGGTGGTTGTGAAATCACGGTTTGAATTATGTAAAGTACAGATTCAAAGACAATGTTTTTAAGCTTTGTTTTCTATTGTATATCACACACACATTAACAAGATCTCTATGATTGCCAGAAATCCCTGATAAAAGATCATGAAAATTTTTTTGGCGCTTCATTTTGACTAATGGCGATGTGATGATGATGAATTTTACTACTAGAAGTGTCATTTCTGGCCATCTAGAGGTACGATTTCCTCAAATTTTCTTACATCAGCTCCAACCATGGTGGGTCTGAGGTGGGTGTCGACTCACAAAATGTCCTCCCCTCCACCTTTTTTTTGGTTAGTGAGATACAGATGTTTGAATATAAAAAAAAAGCCCTTTTTCCACAATTTTGTCCGAAGTTTTTAAATATTCAAAAATCTGCATATCATAAACTGCTACCGAGTTTTTCGTCAAATATGGTTTTTGTGTCCTAGAAATTTCGGTTGTACAACAAATGACAGATTATAGCAATCCACAGTAATAAAGTAGGTACAACAATTATTATACAAAACGTAATGTATTCACATCATCTCTAAAAGCATTCAAAGAGAAAGTGAGCAAGTGTAAACAACACCATATACCACTGTTGAAGCGTTGTGATCTACTCTTTTTAAGCCAAAGGGAAAATACCACATCTAATCTACCTAACAATTTGGCTTAAAATAAAAATGTTACATAGCACTGACGCAAGTACATTAATTACGTGTTTTTCATTCTTGGGGATTATCTAAAAGTCTGTATCTGGGACAATTAGGTGACAAGAGTGCTGCTTCTAGCTTAACCCAGAATAATGCCTGTCTCTCTGGGTGTTCTTCCCACTCAATGTACGTTGTTGTGGTCAGTATCTTGTGTAATAGGATCGGCATATCTTTCGCTGACACCTTCTCAAGCACAACCACAACCAGGATATCCTCGTGATTGTCGAACATTCGCATGCGTGCCATCTCCAGTTCGAAGTAACACCATTCACTTTTGATGAAGTTTTTGGAGACAACCAACAGCACTTTACGGCTGTATTTAACAGCATTCGCGATATTATCGACAACTGCTTCTCCTGCAATAAAATCGCGGTAGTCAACACACAGTTTTAACTGTCTCTTATACACATCTAGATGTGTATAAGAGACAGGTGTGCTGGCTTTGCTTTCGAAACAACTGTTCTAGGCCATATCATTTAATTATCTCAAAATGTCTCAACTTTTCAACCCGTCGACAAAGAATACTGGAGTAGTTTAAATATTCATTACAATAAATTCTAGTTTCAACTTTTAGTTTATTGTTTTATTTAGACATTATCTAGTTTTTCTAATATCAAAATTGTATGTAATGAGTATTTATTATATTATTACCATTAAAACCATAATGTGTCTCTGAAATCGATTGTAGGGTATATATTATATTATAATAATTAAAGAGAAGGAGACCAGACGGGACCTCTCGACCCGGGACCCCACAAAATTTGTAAAAAAAAATTTAAAATGAAGATAAAAAGAAAATTATATTCACAATTTGAAGTCTGTGAGTGCCATTTCCGGCCATCTAGACGTGCTATGGTAATACATTTTCTTATCTCAGCCCCACAAGAGCAACGACATAATGTGTGTCTGAAATCGACTGTAGGACATATCATATTATATCCAGTGGCGGAGTAAAGAGTGTGGGGGAGGGGGAGCTGCTGGCCTGGGCCCCACTAAATTTGTCAAAATATTTTTTAACTGGAGACAAAACTTAAGAAAATTCATAATTTTGTCTGTGAAGTGCCATTTCCGGCCATCTAAAGGTGCCATATTCATAAATGTTCTTACCTCAGCCCCAACCATGGTGGGTCTGAGGTGCTATAGACTCTCCCACTGTCAAAGTCCCTCCCTGGCCTCAATTTTCTGGATGCATAAATATAATTTATTCATCGTTAAAAAAATTTAGGATAACAATGCACACCTAAAATCCCACGATAGAATTGGTGACCGGAACCCCAAAAAAGACCATGTTTAGTTCTGCTAGAATTTCTTCATAACAACTAAACAATATGAATAAACAATTTATGGGAACAGCGCATACTGTAAGTGGCATCTACTGTATATTATAATTATGCTTATTTTAAAGCCTAAATTTACAGTGTATAACTTATTACGTCAGCTAACGTCTAGGATTCGAATCTTACATAGATCATTAAAATCTTTATCTCTCGAAGTGTACAATTCCATATTTCAGCTTAATTGTCCCTTTTCCCTACATAAAAATAAATCACGAAAATATCTTCCTCCGCCCACAATTCAACTTCGGCTAGGCCTATGTTTTTTGTGTCCATATTTTGTCATTTTGTTTGTTCGTCAGGGAGTTGGTGTTAGAATGTATACAATCCACCTGATCAGTCACTACACTGGAAGATCCGTGAAGTTAAAATGAAGCCATGGGGAATTTGCTTGGCATATATCAAGGGGGTGGTGTTATTACAGAATTTAAAAAAGCAAAAAACAAAAACAAAAAAACAAAAAAAAAAAACAACCTCCCTGTCTATCGGCCGATCAACATTTTTATTATATAGGCTCAGTTTTGAACTTTTCAATGTGGTTAGTTGACCTCCTAATTCATTACTTCGGGAAATCAAGGCAGACCTTATGACCTCTAGACCTTGCAGCATATTAACATAACTTAGTATAAAACATACTCGAAATAAAGCAAGACTAGTCATTTTGATTCAATATTTCGAGCTTTTATTAGATCATCATCAGGATCCTGATGATGATCTAACAAAAGATCGAAATATTGAATCAAAATGACTAGTCTTACTTTATTTCGAGTATGTTTTATACTAAGTTATCTTAAACTTATCAGGGACCTACTGATATTAACATAAAGTGTCTAATCTATAGAAACTTCCTATTTTGATCTACAGTAATATCCTCAGTATATCACAAATTTATGTACATTAATTAGTAAGGGCCTATAAACTAATCGCCTTACTTCATTTATCCTACCTAAACATATACCCTACCAATAACACAAATAAATGCATAACGTTCACCACCACATTTATCTATGTGTTGTCTAGGAAAAATATGGTACCCTGACCGCTGGGGTTTAGGCCCAGTGTTATGTATTATGTATGAATGTTTGTGTATTAGGCCTATCTTCTTTTAGTAGTCATAAATAATTGTTCTGTTTTATCAAATTAATCGCGATGTTTAATTAGTTGGTTAAATTATATATGCGGTTGTCTTGCCAAAACTAATATTTTAAAAACAGTTAAATTATAATATTTATATTGCTATAATTTATAGAAATGTCTTAACATAGACGATCCGCTAATAAGGATTTTAATTATTTTCGAATAAATCAGAAAAGATCTCCGTGTCATTTTGACTTTTTTACCTATTTTTTCGTTTACAAATATATGCCTACTATTCTTAAAAACAATAAAATTGATTGAAACTTTGAGTCCTCATAATG